ATGATGCAGGCTTGAATGCTCTTTAATTAAGAAAGAAGTAGAAAAATTAGAAATCCTGCAAATATAATGTTTTCCTGGCTTGATTCATGGGTTGTTCACTTGCATGACCATAATTAAAACAGCAATTTTATTTCTTTTGTTACCTTGCCTTCAATAATAGTTTAGTTTTCTTGCCTTGGTCGTGATTGTTATAAAAATAACATTGGGGACAAGAAAATTTGCACACGTGTTTGAAGTATGTTCAAAACAACACGTAGATTATTGACCTTTTACACTCACATCAAATGCAATTTATGTATCAATAAATTTACAACGTAAAGAGAAGTCAATTAAACGAATCGTCAGCGTTATTTTGACGGATTTGATGGTTCAAAATAACGCTGATGAAATGTTGTGGTATAAAACTTCACACATCAACTTAAAATTTGTTACAAAGAGATAAAGTACATGAAGTTATGTGGAATGTCGCACAAGACTGTTTAATGTGGGAGTATAGCTTAATGTTAGTATATCCGAAAACGAAAGTTATAGACATAGATTTGCTTCACCCTGGCAAAGAGTTTTCCTTATTTAATTTTCCATTGTTGCAGGTACATACAGGATCTTTATTTTAAACTTTTCTTTGTTGGCAAGTGGCCTTTGATGCTTCCTTTTTGACAAGTCAAACACCAGAAATATGTCCTTTTCCAGAAAGTCTGTTATTTTTCCTCCCAATTTTTTTCTATGACACGCTTTACCTGTGACTTCAGTGTACTGTATGACATCTTTATGCTAATCAGTATTTGTGCACTTTCATTTTGGAATAGTATCCTGTTTTAAAAGTACACCTACATGTACAGTTGAGTGACCTTTAGCCTTTAATTTTTTTATAAGCATGTATGAAACTATGAATAGAACTGGGGTGTATTGCTTTTGAACTGTGAAGTACTGTTTTAGATATATGAATCTTCGCTTCTGCAGTTGTCAATAGTTTTGCCCTGTTTTTTTACTTTCTGACCTGTGACAAAAGTAAACCTACATTTTAATGACCTTTGCCGTCTTGGAAAATAAAGGGCATGCCTTTCTCCTTAGACAGCAGAAATAGAATCAGGGTTTGATGGTTTGAACTGCAAAGTACTATTTAAGATATATATGACATCATCTTTGCAGGTATCCATAGGTTCATTTGGATATTCTAACTTGTGTCAATAATGCACCTACAATTATGTGACCTTTGTGACCTATGTGATCTGATAGGCAGGCCTTACTCCATAGAAATAGAATGGGGTTTTGATGGTTTGAACTACAAAGTACTATTTAAGACATATACAGCATCATCTTTGCAGGTATTAATGTAGTTTCTTTTGGATATTCTAACCTTTGTCAATAGTGCACCTACAATTATATGACCTTTGGCCTTTATGAAAATTACACTTTCCCCCTAGGCAAGTGGAAATAGAACCAGGAGTTTGATCATGTACATTGTGGGACTAGTTTGATGCTTGTAAACACACACGCCCTTCTTTCCACATTCGTGCCATTTGGGCTTGCGGAACCGACCTAGCGGGCGGCTTCATTATCTGCTCACTTGTAACTGTAGCGCCAATATTGGTTTTTCTAGTTATACCCCCCAGTGGGTCAATGTCCTTTGAGCAGGTCCTTGGTTGCCGCCGCCGACCGCTGATGATGATGCTGTGCCTCGGATGACGTGCTCTCTCTGTGTGAACGGCTCCCCTGTTGTGGCAACATCAAAGTGCGTTCCCCGCCATTACTGTCTTGTTCACACAATTGTCCTAAACGTTCTCATAGTAGAATATTAATGTTTGAACTTGATCAGGGCACCGTTGCATAAAACTTACCATTGATGATAACTTTGCCATCAATGGCATCTACCATGGTAACAGGGCTCAACAGCCAATCAAAATTAAGGTTTCCATGGTAGTTACCATTGATGGTAAAGTTACCATCAATGGTAATGATCATGAAAAATGGATAAAAGATTTTTTTTAAAAACTTTCTACCTTCGTCAGCTTTCTTCCCAAGAACTGCATGTATCCTAGTTTAATTGTTATTGCGCACTTGGTATTGAATATTTAAAATAAAAACAATATGATGAAAGGACTTCTATTTCTATGAAATTTGATATACATTTTAAATCCAATATTGCAGATGACAAGATAATAGGCCTGTACAAACGTAGTTGAAAATGGGTACATTTTGATTTGAATTGAACAATTTATGACAAAGTACAAACAATATTTCATAGGTTGAAGAACATTATGACAAGATATTATCAACTGATATGATACTGGATCATAGTCATATAGAAACAGTTTTGAGAAAAGTTCATTTTGAAGGGATTAGAAAAGGAGAGTCCTTTCAGTTTACAAATAATCTGTTGGAGTCAGAACGGCATAAACGCTTGAATGTAAAATTCTTAGTTAACACCCCTTCTGGTTTATAAAACGGAAACATAATATCCAAGAAGCCGTTATTATTGCCTCACCCCATTTGTGTACTGGCAGAAAAATTATTCCCCTTCCTCTTATAGTCATAATTCATATACCGGTAGTTATTACAAATTCTAGTCTGAGGTAATTGGATTGTATGTTTGGAGCCAGAAGGGCATTAATTCATAAACTTTAAC